TTTTAAAAAGAAAGTTGTTTCCGCCAGGCGTGGTGGCTCATGCCTGTAATCCCAGCACTTTGGGAGGCCGAGGCGGGCAGATCACCTGAGGTCGAGAGTTCAAGACCAGCCTGACCAACATGGAGAAACCCTGTCTCTACTAAAAAAATACAAAATTAGCCGGGCATGGTGGTGCATGCCTGTAATCCCAGCTACTTGGGAGGCTGAGGCAGGAGAATCGCTTGAGCTAAGGAAGCGGAGGTTGCTGTGAGCTAAGATCGCGCCATTGCACTCCAGCCTGGGCAACAAGAGTGAAACTCCGTCTCAAAAAAAAAAAAAGAAAGTTGTTTCCTCAAACCATCCTACACTTGATGGTAGGTCTTGCACAGAGGAGGTGCCTCAGTAAAGCATTATTGATGCTAATAAAATCATTGCTATTGAGAAAGGTCATAGGAACGTGTTATCTTCTGTTTTTTACATAGTCAAAGTGAGAATGTTAAATTTCACCAAAACCAAGCAAGCTATTTTGAAAGGCAGTTTACATTTGATGGTTAGGGGTAGAAGGTCTGCTCTGGAGACACACTCTCATGGCACTTAGATGTGTGACCTTGGGCAGAGTTACTTAGCCACTCTCAGTCTCAATACCTTTATTCATTCAAATAGGGGTGATAATAATAGTATCTACCTCACTGAGAGAGTATTCATGAATAAATTTAAAGAACTTAGAAATGGACTTGGTGCATAATAAGCATTTGATATTCCTTCTACACCTTAAATGCGACACTTAAATCATCTCCCCTTTTCTTCACAGTTTTTCTTCCTGTTTTCTTCTGAGTTTTTTGCATATTTCCGTATAAGTACTTTTTTTCCCTTGGCATTCACATGTCATTAAATGAAGATGAAGAACAGACATGCAAGTAGAGCCCTTGCGTGTACATAAAATGTTTTTGTTGTATTTATTAATACGTAATTAATGATAAGATATTATACTAATCTGTTTGACTATATGGTGAAATACATTATTGGAAGAGAGAAATGTAGGTCAGGGAACTCAAAAGGGGATTATCATCAAACCTGAACACACACTACCACATCATGGCAAAATCTGGTATGTGGCCTCTTGCCATGGGATCTAGCCTGCCTCTAACTGACTTGGTAATTTGGCCTTAGTCTTCTTACATAAGAAACTGGGAAACTGACCTAGACAATCTGTGGAGTCCTGTCCTATTCTAACTTTTTGGTCCTAAATGAAACTGTAAGTTAAAACTACTTACTTGTCGTATTTCACCTATAGCTTTTTAATCATCTTCAAGCATTTAAAATGTCAGCATATACATCATTCACAGGTACTTTTTTTAAAAAAGAGATACCCAGGAAGAAAGTGGGGAAAAAGAAAGTTCAATAGAAGATGAAAACATTATCTGCATTTTTCCACCGTTGAGATCATTTTGTACTCCGTTTCTTATTTAACTATATATCTTAAAGATCTTTTCAATAATTTTAAACATTAGATATCAGTTCATAATGTACATATACCCTAATTTACTTAACTGTTTTACCTCTGTTGTACACGTAAACTATTTTTTTAATTGTAATAAACATTGTTCTAGATGTCATAGTGGACAGAAATATTAATAAAATCTGATTTAGAAGAGGGTTCTTGGATTGCATTCTTTATCTTTCAGTGGGTTAAAAATAGTTTCACTCTCTTAAATTCCAAGGTTGCAAATGGGAAGTCTGATGCCTGTCAGATTCTCTTTTTCAAGCAAACATAAAAATTATATATGAAAATGTATATGATTTTAAATTTATACGTGCTGAAATTGGTCTCTAAGATATGTACATATTTGTGCTTCGTCTCCAAAAAATTTCTCGGAACTAACTCACCATTTTAAATCTGAAAATTCAAATTTTATTACAGCTCAGAATTTTTAAAACATTATTTCTTTGATGTTTGCTCTTTCACTTTTTGTTTCTTTGAAAACTATTAGCCTGCACATTATTCCCATTCTTTGGGTTTTTATATTTTTATTCGTGGTTTCTATTTCTTTGTGTTTTTTTCTCTGTTATATGAAAAATGCTCTTTATTTGATCTAACAATTTTTTTGTCTTTTTTTGAGACAGAGTCTCACTCTGGAGTGCAGTGGCATGATCTCAGCTCACCGTAACCTCTGCCTCCCGATTCTCCTGCCTCAGCTTCCGGAATAGCTGAGAGCTGAGACTACTAGCGCGCACCACCACGCCCAGTTAATTTTTTGTATTTTTAGTACAGACGAGGTTTCACCATGTTGGCTAGGCTGTTCTTGAACTCCTAGCCTCAAGTGATACCCACCTCAGCCTCCCAAAGTGCAGGGATTACAGGCATTATCCATCATGCCTGGCCTGATCTAACAATCTAAGTGTTTTTTTGTTTTTTTTGTTTTTTTGTTTTAATGTGACTATTTTATAATTTTTTTCTGTATATTTTAAAACCTCAAATCACATTTATTTTAATTTCCAGAAACTCTTTTAATTCCTCTGATGTTGATTCTTAAGGTTTCTCATTCCATACATATTTGTATATACATATTTTTTTCCTTCAAAGCCTTTCTTTTAACTCCCACAATTTCTTTAATGGCTTGCCATCTTTCTTTGCCTTTCCATGTCAATTGAGTTTGGTTTCCTGAGCATCTGCATACTTCAAGGTAGCAACTCTAGAAGGTAGACCTGCAGGCTAGCTTGCTCGACCAATCTGTTGAACTGTATGAGAAGTCTTTCTATTCTCAAAAGTAAGCTGAAAGAGACTATCCTGACCAACACTGCAACTTCCTATGGGGCTCAATGGCAACAGCCAGCCTCTTCCGGATCTGTGTCAACGAGTGGGCGGCAGAAGTCCCTCTTCTATCACAGCTACCAGTCTCCCTCAAGGATCTGTATTCAGTCTCATCTGCAAAGACAATCATTTTTCTATTCCAAGCAGGCTGGATATCATTCTTCAGCTCTGCAAACACTGACTTCCGTCTGTATCTTCTTCCTTCAAGACTCAAAGGGCTTGTATGCCTGGGATTTTCTCTAGGTTCCAACCATTGTCCCAGTTATTTAGAAATTGTGCTTCCCAGTGGAATGTTTTGATCAGGATATAAGAACGACAGGACCTAGTGAAGAAGTCCTTGAACACCCTGGATTAAATGTTTGAATTTTAACCTAAGGGCGACAGGATGCTACTGAGTTTTAACCAGGTGAGTAAACATGATTAAATCTGTAGTTTAAGAAGAAATATTCCAGCTTCAGCCTGGCAAACATCTCTGAAGGCAGGGAGACTGAATATAATAAAGACTATAAAAGTCTAGATTAGGGCAGAAATAGAGGATAATTTAAAATGCATTTGACTGGCGTTTAGGTGGACAGATTAGGTGAACTCGGTGACAGATTGGCCAGTGAGGATGAGAAAACAGGTGGAACTGATCAGGCTTCTTTTGAACGTGGTAGATGATTGGGCCTTTACCAAGGTGTAAAACACAGTAAAGAGCTTAGCTTATGTTTATTTTGGGGGTGATGTTTCCTCCCACTCTCTTATGCCCTTGCAGCAGTGTATTTATAGGAAATAATTCCCGGAAGAGAACTGACTAAATTAAGTACATGTGTATTTGAATTTTCGTACATGTAAACACATTGTTTCCCTTAAGAGTTCATTTGGTTTTGTGTTTGGTTGGTTTGAGACATGAAAAGTGATGTCTCACTGTCAATTTGATTTCTATATTTATATTTATTTGTTTTGTATGAAGTATCTATTAATACCCTTCCTCAGTTATCTCTTGGTTGTTTTTCCTATTGATTTTTTTACGCTCAGTATAATAATGAGATTAGGACTTTGCATCTTTGCATTGCAAATGTTTTTGCCAGTTAAATGTTTGCCAACTGGAAGTTTTAATTCTTATTTAGCCAAGTTGGTCAATATTTTATGGTTTCTGAGTTTTTTATAATGTTTAGACAAGGCTTCCCTATTCCACAAATATTTGAATATTATGCTCTTATTCTTTAATCTAACATTTGCATAGTTCTATCTTAAATATGTAATTCATATAGAACTGATTTTGATGTAAAAAGATAAGGCTCCACAGATGGCTATTCATGGTCTCAACACTTTTCACTGAGTAACTCATCATTTCCCCTACTACTTTATGTTGATACTTCTTTAAACCATAAATTAAATTGCTGTACACACTCATGTCTACTTTTGGGTTCCCTTTTCTCTTTCATTGAGCCTATCTATTCCAATGTTAATCTAAACTGTTTTAATTATGGTGATATTGTATGTAATATCCCATTCATTATTCCCATGCATTACTCTTGTTTTAAATAGATAATCTTACATATTTATTTTCCACATAAACTTTAGAATCAGATTGGTTTGAAAAAAATCATGTTATTTTTTAAATTGAGATCAATTTTATTTCTAAATGTATAGAATAATTTGGGGAATCTTGTCTTTATGCTACTAAAATTTCTTAGTGAAAAAAAGTATGTCTTTACTTATTCACATCTTTGTTTTTTTCTTCATGCATGACATTGAGAACTTTCTGATTTTTGTTTGCAGGAAAGAAAACTATTGGTTTTCTAAACAAGAACTTCATTGTTGATTAACTTTGATTTTTCCATGTATACACATATTTCATTTGCTAATGACAATTTAGCTTTCATTTTTTATAAATCTTTTTCTTTCTCTTGTTTAATTGCATAGGTCAGTAACTCCAAAACATTGTCAAAATCATAACGACAATGTGCACTGTTTGTTTGGGTTTTTTTTTTCCTGAATTTACAGGAAAAAATAATAAAAATTTTATCAGCTTTCAGCAGAGATGCCATACACTTTCTGTACTTCCCAATCCTGAGTTTTCGTCGCTGTCACTCTTTGTCCAATACCTTCAGTCCTGAAAATTCCTTCCCTTTGTTTAAAGATAAAAAACAAAGTTGTTCATCCATTGCTTTGAAAGGAAAAACTGTAGTGGAGGGCCGGGCTAAAAAGGAGCAGGTTGAACTCCACAGCAATCGCCAAAGCAAGGGGTTAGAAAAAGTTTCTTGGTCCTCTAGTCACTCTTTAGAAGGAAGAACCCGAGCTTGGGGAGGAGTCGGGGCCACCCCCGCCCCCTGCCCGGAGTCGTTGCCACCCGCGGAGATGAAATGTGAGCCTGGGTGGCCAAGGACGCCGGAGTGGCAGCCTTCCCCGCGCCTGAGCGCAGTGGGGCGAGACAAAGAGACCTGGGCCCCCAGCGCAGCCCGTCTCGGGCCACGCGCGCCCCAGCTCCGCGGAGTCCCGCACTCGCTGGCCCGGGACGCGCCCGGCCCGGGCTCCCTTGGAAGGCTCCCTAGGCAATGGCCGGGTCTCCGCTCCACCCGGCTCTCAGGAGCGCTGCTCTCTCCATCTGATCGTCCTCCATCCTACCCATTCCCTCCGGTTCCGGGCTCTCCCTTCGCTCCAAGCCTCTCTCTGGCGCGCAACCTCAGGTCACCGGCTTGGATGGACGCTCCGAGGCTGCCCGTGCGTCCAGGGGTCTTGCTTCCGAAGTTGGTCCTGCTCTTTGTCTACGCAGGTCAGTGACAGAGGGCGGCGGAGAGGGTCAGAGGCTCGGGGCAGGGCTTGGGTCACGATCCGGGCCAAGTTGGGTTGAGCTGGACGGACTGGGACCTTTGCAGAAGGACCTTTGCAGACGCCTCTGCCTTTTCTGAGAAGCGATGGCAGAAACCCGCGCGCTTCCACCCTCACGCGGTTTTTGTTTTGTTCCTTTTACTTTTTGTATTTCTTTTCTTTCCCTTTCCACCTTGGAAATAGCAGTCTCGTGTTTAGGGGATTTGACTCGGGATAGAGTAAACTACATCCAAATAAACTTATCTGGATAGGGTAGGCAGTGGACTCTCCATCTTCTGCTTTCTTAATATTCCTGGTTTTCCCTCTTACGAATAAAAAAAACTTAGAGCTTTGTTTTTGTTCTTTGGGAGATTTACAAGTGCAGTAGACTGAGCTATAGGATTGAAGTCAAACACAGGTTTTTGAGAAGCTTGAATTCACCCAGGGTCTAATCTGTGTTAGTTGATTTGGATAAACACTTGTTTATAAGAGAAGGACATCTCATTTCCCTTCTAATTATTTGTAGTAAGAACTGCTAATAATTAAGCAAAGTGAGTTTTCTTGTTCTGTGATTAATATGGAGCCCCAAATGGCCTTGCATTGGTTATTCAGGTATAAAGTGTCTTACACACGTGGTCTTTGCATTCGTTCATATTCACAAAACAATGCAAGCTAAAAGCAAAGTTCTTTGTACAATGTTTTTGTGTCTCTAACGTCCTGTGACAAAAATCGCAGGCTCATCCATGAGCCTCCAATACTAAATGTATACATAGCACCGAAGTTTACCTTTGATACTCAAAAATATATTGCAACTGAAATGATTTTCTTCAACGTTGGACCTGAGCTTTAAAAGAATTGAATTTCTCATTCAACCTTGCTAGAAAAGAGTCACCATAACTTCTGTGGACATTTTCAGTCTGTTTATTGAAATGCAAAATAGTGGCTTTCTAGGAGTTACCCTTTTAAAGATGTTTTATGGCAGGAAAAAACGCTGACTTTCTAATATGGAAATTCATAAAAGTAGGATAAGTTCTTCCTATTAAATGAAGAGAATTTCCATTTAATCTGTTTACAACATTTATTTCTTTTATTAAACTTATATAAGGTTTTCAGAATTGGAGGGATTAACAGAGTCAATTGCATTAATACTCGTTTTCTATTGAAAAAATCTCTTTATTAGTTCTTTCGAAGCACTTATGCTTTTCACCGCCTCTGCTCGGCAGTGTTGAATACTTTCACTCACACTTACTCAACCACTCCTTTGAACCACAATTTTGTTTGTTTGTTTGTTTATTATATTCCTTCTGGTAAACTGAAAGCTTCTGCTTTACACATCTCCCCCCTCCACCTGTTTCCCCAGTGCAGATGCCCAGCTCCTCAGGGCTCAGGAAATCAGCAAAGCTGGCCAGCAACAAGGGTGGTTAGTTTAGAAAGTTTTCAGTCCATTCATTTCTCTTCTTTGGAATCCCTCTCTTGTAAGCTACAAAGTCGTTGTAAGCCAGTGCTAAGTTGACTTATTATCTTTGCTAAGAAGTGTTTAGCTAGTAAGTTCTTTGGTGTCAATTCCTGGACTTCTTATTCAGAGGCCTTTTTATGCTTTTCATATTCATTCAACTATTACTTACTGAGATATGTTGAGCCATAAGAGGTCATGTTCTTATCAGTCTTCTCTGGGAAATATGGTATGATCATAAATTACTTTAAGGTATAAAAGGTTGTGTCATAGGAGAGGTAAAATCATGTGCTATAGATGTTCAAAGAAGAAACCTTATTGCTGGCTTAAAAGAGTAAACTTCATGAGGACAATGTCTATTTTGTTCAGCAAAAAGATCAATCAATATTTGCTCAGGAAAACTGAATTGAGGAAGACTTGAAGGAACTAGACCTTTGAAAAATGGAGACGCCCTGAACCAAACGAGATGGAGTAGGATATAGCAGGATATCGTGGGATCAAAGGCAAAAATCAAGATCTCTACATGCAACAAAGGATATTTCAGTTTGGTTGCAACTAAGAGGTATGGCTGGAAGTAAGGGCAGAGGTTAGATGCTGGAACACCCCAGAAATCGAACGAGTTCATACTATTAAATGAATTGCCAGCTTTATGGGACAAAAATCTATGTAGATGCACTACTCATAATCTAAATTATTTTCCCCGAAGCAAATGCATTAGATTCACATTTTATTTGGCTAAACAAATAAGAACAAAGTTTCTATACCTGAAGCATCATGTTGTACTATAGAGTTACTTTTGGAAGGAGACCCAGTGAAGTGTCAATATTATTGTCTGACTCCCACTGCAGGCTACAAAGACAGGATTTGGTCAAGGTTTTACCTTCCGGGCCTCAGCCAGTAACTTCTGTCCCCTCCCTTTCCTTCCTCTCTTATCTTAGCTATAGTTTGCAAGGGCCATTTCTAAGCAAGCGCTTCAAGCCAGATACTGCTTTTCCTGTTCTGCACTTTCCTTAAGGTGGGAGGCAGGGTGAGTTGGGAGGCACGGGTGAGCTGGGGAACCTTCTTCCAGACCACACCTTTCAGCAAAAAGTCATTGAAGAAAGTTTAAATTGGCTGATTTTCAGGGATACTAACTTGGACATTAGATGTAATATTATTTATCTTCTGGAGACAAATTGGAATGGTCTGTTCTTTCTCCAGTGAGAAAAAGCTCCTGTATGGCACCAAAACTGATCTTTGCCAAATTATTCTCAAATATCCCAGAGAAAGCAACTAACACAAAAAAGGCTTTGAGGTGTGGTTGAAATTTCATTTTGGAGAGGCTGTGATTGTAAATGTATTTGCCATCCTGTTAAATCTCCCCTTTTGGGTAGTTTAATTCTGGGAAGTAGACAAGAGCATGGAAAATGCCATAAAAACAATGACCAATGTGTAACATGATCCAGATGTTTGCTCAGGTATAATCCAGCTGCTTGGCTACAAGATTTTGGGCTTGGTTTCCTGTAACGTTGGCTCAAAATATTTTGATAACACCATGTCTTTATAAGAGTAGTCACCGGAATACAATGGTAGCAATGGAATCTTTGATATTGATGGAGAGTTTAATAAGATGTCACTGTCCTGGACACAGTTCAAAGGGCACCCATGAAGTTACTTACACATTGGTTGTCCTACTCTGACAGAATAGTGGGGACATTAGCTCTTTCACAATCAGAGTGGCTTTTATTTATTTATTTTTTAAATAATGTCAACGTCTTTAATTTTAGACTCAGGGAGTACATGTGCAGATTTGTTACATGAGTATATTTTGTGATGCTGAAGTTTGAGGTACAATTGATCCCGTCACCCAAGTATTGAATATAGCACCCAATAGTTCGTTTTTCAACCTCTCCCCACTCCCTTTCCTTCCCGCTCTAGAAGTCCCCAGTGTCTACTGTTGCTATCTTTATGTCCGTGAGTACCCAGGGTTTAGCTCTCACTTGTAAGTGAGAACATGCGGTATTTGGTTTTCTGTTCCTGAATTAATTTGCATAGGATGATGGCCTCTAGCTTCATCCATGTTGCTGCAAAGGACATAATTTTAATCTTTTTTTTTCTGGCTGCATAGTATTCCATGGTGTATATGTACCACATTTTCTTTACTGAGTCCACTATTAGTGAACACTTAGGAAGAATCAGTGTCCTTACTATTTCAAATAGTGCTGTGATGAATGTACAAATGCATTTCTTTTTGATAGAATGATTTATTTCCCTTTGGATATATACCCCAGCAATGAGATTACTGAGTCAAATGGTAGTTTTGATTTAAGTTCTTTGAGAAATCTCCAAACTGCTTTTCATAGTGGTTGAACTAATTGGGAGGCCGAGACGGGCGGATCACGAGTTCAGGAGATCGAGACCATCCTGGCTAACACGGTGAAACCCCGTCTCTACTAAAATACAAAAAAAAACTAGCCGGGCGAGGTGGCGGGCGCCTGTACTCCCAGCTACTCGGGAGGCTGAGGCAGGAGAATGGCGTGAACCCGGGAGGCAGGGCTTGCAGTGAGCTGAGATCCGGCCACTGCACTCCAGCCTGGGCAACAGAGCCAGACTCCGTCTCAAAAAAAAAAAAAAAAAACATTTCCAGTAACAGTGTATAAGTGTTCCCTTTTCTCCACGGGCTCACCAGCATCTGTTTTTTTTTTGACTTTTCAATAATAGCGCTCTATTTTGATTTGCATTTCTCTGATGATTGGTGACTTGTTGAACATTTTTTTGTTGTGTTTGTTGGCTGCTTGTATGTCTTCTTTTGAGAAGTGTCTGGTTCAGGTCCTTTGCCCATTTTTTAATGGGATTATTTAGTCTTTGCTTGTTCAATTATCTAAGTTCCTTATAGATTCTGGATATTAGGCTTTTGTCAGATGCATAGCTTACACATATTTTCTCCCATTCTGTAGATTGTTTGCTTACTCTGTTGATAGTTTATTTTGCTGTGCAGAAGCTCTTTAGTTTAATTAAATCCCGCTTGTCAATTGCTTTTGTTGCAATTGCTATTGAGGACTCAGTTATAAATTCCTTCCCAAGGCTGATGTCAGGAATGGTGTTTCCTAGCTTTTCTTCCAGGAGTCTTATAGTTTGAGGTCTTTCATTTAAATCTTTAATCAATTTCAGTTAATTTTTGTATGTGGTAAAAGATAGGGGTCCATTTTCATTCTTCTGTGTATGGCTAATTGGTTATCCAGCACCATTTATTGAATAGGGAGTCCTTTCCCCATTGCTTATTTTTGCTGACTTTGTCAAAGATCAGATGGCTGTAGGTGTACGTTGAATGGCTTTTAAGAACATGAAGCAAAACATCCCCACTAAGCCCTTCAGATAACTGACCAGTAATAAATTAAACAGCACTAAAAATGAGAGCTATGGAAATTCACCAAGAAAACTGTAAAATAAATAGCCTTTAAAAGTGTGTTGTACTCTGCAAAAAGCATTTATTGTCAATATATTGGCTTCTCCCTTGTATCTAAATCATTAGATCGTGTTTCTGTTTTCAAATTTTAGAAGTGGACTTAAGTACTTACTGAATCTCACAAAGGTAATTATTTTTCGTTTTCATTGCTTCTTACCACAATCCAGAGGTAAGCCTCAAGGGTCATGTTTGACTACCTATCATGTAAAAATAAAACTGAGGGGAAGGAAACATGAATTTTTCCATTTGTTCCACAAAAGCCATGCATAATTGTTAATGGTGACTGAACTTTGCTATCTTCTAATCACATCTCTTTGTAAAGTATCATCTTAGCAGGGAAGTGATTTAAAAGCAACGTAAAATTTCCTTTCTGGATAAATCAGTTACATGGACATGTAGACATAAATACAATATTTTGTACTTTTAATGTTATGGCTTTGATAGGGAAGCAAAAGTTTTATATAATTTATATAATAATTAATATTACCTTCAGGAATTGAGTTGGAAATGGATTATTTTGTGACTCTTAAATGTACAACCTAAATTATCAGACTGTACTTAATGTTTTCCTAATCATGTATCTGAAACTTATATATCCATCATAACTTATATGACTAACTCGGTGACAACCTTAGCTTGTTAAACATAAATCATTTAGGTGGAATAAAGAATACTTAAAAGCTAGAGTAATTTTTATCCAACATTTTTAGTATAATTTTTCTTGCTGTAAAATATATGGAAAAAATAGTAATTTCTCATCCTTTATTCAGAAAATAACTTTTCCTCCTTCACATAGTACTGTTTTATATCTTACTGATTCCTCAATCTGACATTAAGTAAACTCTTAATTGTTTACAAAATATTGTCTATGGGGATTTCTTCCTATAACCAATCATCTTTTAATCCAAATGAATTTACAGGATGCAGACTCATTGTGTTACCACATGTATGCAAACTGTAATTATACAGGTAAAAAATGGCACAAAAAGGAAAGCATACAATGTAGTATCATGGAAAATATACATCATTTTGAAATTATTCCTTTTTGGTGTTATTCATACCACTAAACCTTCTATTGATTGAGTTCAGTTGAGAATACAAGACCCTAAAGTTAGAAGACTTTTTTTTTTCTTTTTTTTTGAGGCAGAGCCTCACTGTGTCGCCCAGGTTGGAGTGCAGTGGCATGATCTCGGCTCATTGTAACCTCTATTTCCTAGGTTCAAGCAATTCTCCTGCCTCAGCCTCCTGAGTAGCTGGGATTACAGGTGTGTACCACCACACCCAGCTACTTTTTGTATTTTTAGTAGACACTGGATTTTACCATGTTGGCCAGGCTGGTCTCGAACTCCTGACCTTAAGTTATCCACCGCCTCAGCCTCCCAAAGTGCTAGGATTACATGCATGAGCCATTTTGCTTGGCCAAGAAGACTTTATCATTTAAAATTTATTATAAAAACTCTATGGACAAATCCAATGACTGAGTAGTTTAATTGTTCTTTAATTCCTTCCTTCATTATCTCATTCAACTAACCCTGACTAGCAATTATGGTGCTTGGTGTAGAAGATTCAAGAATTGTCTTTGTCTTTACAGGTTAGAGTCTAATGGGGAAGGGAGGCTAATTTAGATCCTTACGAATGTTTTTAAATTCTGAGGACAAAAATGAAGATTTAAAACCACTAAAGAGTGGTCATTGGCTGATTAAGATGTGAAATAGCATAATTTTTCCTGAAACTGTGATTTTACAACTATAACTGCTCACAAATGGTTTTTGTTTTGTAGATGATTGCCTTGCTCAGTGTGGCAAAGATTGCAAATCTTACTGCTGTGATGGAACCACACCCTACTGTTGCTCCTACTACGCTTATATTGGGAATATCCTCTCGTGAGTATTAGTCAAATTTGGCAATACTGATGCTCTTCCTCTTGTCCAGTTGTCCAGTTATGTCTTTTAAAAGTACTAAGTGATAGTTGTGGGCAAGAGATTTCAAGACTGGTTACTGACCTGAAATCTTTACTGGAGATATTAGCACATCACTATCTAATGGACTATGTTGTTTGACAAAATATGCAAATAATATACAAAATAAATTGCCTTCACTATAAAGGAACTAAAAAGAGTTATTCTTTTATTGTTTTGTTTTGTGTACTCTAATAATGTTTTACATAGGCATCATTTTATTGATAATTTTGTAACATCGTCAGTGATATGGTTTTGTCTGTTTTGTGCAAGTTAAAATTTGTTATTTAATTATAGCCAGTTTATTCTGTCATCATGTATGAATTTAATATACCCAGTAGATGTCAGGAAAAAGAGAGGTTATGAATAAAAAACAGATGAGACATGAAATGTCAGTTCTCACATAATACATATACAGCAACTTCAGGAAACAGGTTTAGAGCCTAGGACAAACTAGGCACGGGTAATGCAAAGTGATAAACAACAAGGCACAAAAACACAAATGAAATATATACATGTAGACTCTGTGAAGCATTTCCTTGTAACAAATTAGAAATTTATTTTAGAGCCGCTTCTGGACAAAGGGAAATACAGAATCTGGACCTGCCTCCAGGGCTGTATGGCAGGAAAAGTCTGTACTTCTCAGTTCCTCAAGAGAGGAATCCACAACTGAGAAATAAAAGGTTGAGAATTAGGAACATAAGAATTTCTTGAGTCAAAATCCCCATGGCTTTCAGTTAGCAGCAGTGGTTGTGCCTCTGTCTTCTGTTCTTGTTTTTCAAGTCAGGATCATGGTGTTTTGGGAAATGTTCTGTTTAACTCATGCCCTACAAAGGCTCAAGTGGAAACGGGAAACATTAGGCGCTAAGTCATATGTGCCAGGCTATTTTAGGGACGTGTCCATTGAGACGGCTTGTTACACATCCTCCATTTCCCGAGAATAGAAAACCTGGCACCACATAAACTTTCTAGAATCAGTGTTGAGGCTGATATTAGAGATAATGACTCTGAGAATACAAAAAAAAAAAAAAAATCATACTTCGGGATACTCTTGAACACTATAATAAATGTGAAAGAAATGTCAAGCTATAATAAAAAACCATGTGTGGAATTTAAGCCTTCTTTGAAATGCAAATAAGCTCCAAATAAAACGTTTGAATTTTTCTTCATGGGTGGTTTGGTAGAAAAGAGATTAAGCCCACTTTTTACATTAGAAAACTGTCAGTATGATTTTTTACAGTAACTTATCAGCTCAAATATAAATATATAATGATGTTCACGGTGGCATATTACTTCACAGTATTTAAAGTAACTTAAAATATATTATTAATACATTTAATTTTTTTTTCCTCAAACGGTCTCCACATGCTAGATGCTGCTGTCCCAGGTAGAGGTGTGAGTATAGATTTGGAAAATGTGAAGTCAAAGTGATTCTGTGACTTTGGTCATCTGGCTCCTGGCCTATTTCTTGATTCACTAACTATATCATGGGGTGTGTTGTGCACTCTTTCTCATTCCATAGCTACCTCCACCCAGGTAAATACATATAACTACTTATGAATCAGAATATTTTTAAATATTTGAATGTATAGATATACTTGATATGATTTACATTTGCAATGAAGTTCACATTTTTATGGTACACGTTCTAAATCTTTAATTTCACCGCTGGTTACAGTGAAGAATTAGTTAAGTTGATACATGTATCTAGGTTATTAGGATCAGGTACTTGTTATATTTGGGGGGAAAAATCATGTTTCAGAAGGGAAAATAAACACAGATGGCATTATATTTCAGGCAGTTATAACTGAACTTTCTGTTCAAAATAGAAACCAGTGAGTAAATATCATGCGAAACAATTCTTAGCAAAAAGAAAGGTGGCAGTGGTGGGGGGAGACTTTAAAGCATTTTCCTACTTGATAAAAGGGAATACATTTTCAGGATTTCCAGTTATTGTTTAACATTTGAAAAGAGTTCTTAACTCCACCCAAAGTGCTTTTTTTTTTTTTTAAATTGGTGGTTGGGGATGCAGGAGATAGGAAAAAAATTAATTCCAAGAATGCTTCCAAGCGTTCCTTCATATACTTGTCAAATATTTCTGTTTTGAAACTCACAAATGATGTTTCCTCTTTTTCAAGCATCCAGGCACATTCTTAGTGAAATCATTTTAATAGTCATAACAGAAAGTTAAACCCTCGTGGTTATTAGAAAAGTAATAAGCAAGAAAGCAGTAGCACAATGAAATGTTAGGTAACTTAAATGAAGATTTTTATAATTTGGTTTATATTTTTGTTTGTTTTTAAAATAAAAATGCTTGCTCAGTTTAAAATGAGCTAAAAAGAGAGCAAAACATAATGTGGGCATTTTAGAGTGTTTGTAAATTGGTTGGGTTAGGGCCTCTTGACTTCCCTTGCTGAGGTCTTCCCCTAGTCACCCACTGAAATAATCAATGTTGCTTTTCAGCCCTTAATTCTGCTAACTTCAATTGCCCTTGCTCTTTTGCAAACTAACCATTAAGATTTGTTTATAAAACAGTCACAGGAGCTAATTTAGTTGAAAAGTCTTATTTTACTCAATTTGCTCTCCTTTTTATTTTATTTATTTATTTATATTTGAGACAGAGTCTCATTCTGTTGCCCAGACTGGAGTACTGTGGCACAATCTCAGCTCACTGCAGCCTCTGCCTCCTGAGTTCAAGCAATTCTCAGGTCTCAATCTCCCAAGTAGCTGGGATTACAGGCAGGCGCCACCATGCCTCGCTACTTTTTGTATTTACCATGTTGTCCAGGCTGGTGTTGGACTCCTGGCCTCAAGAGATCTGCCCAACTCGGCTTCTCAAAGTGCTGACAGGTAAGAGCCACTGTGCCCCGCCCTCTCATTTTTTTTTTTTTTTAAGATTCTTTCTATTCTAAGTATGAGTTAATTTTGGCAGATAAATTCAGGTGCCCTTTTTCTTTCTTATTTCTGTTAGGAATTTTACGATTTACTTCTGTCTTATGAAAAACTTTAAAAGTTGAACTTAAAAGATAGCCTATCTACTTCTGGTCATTATAGTCACAGATACTGACTTCAGTGTAGGAGAGTCCGTATTATTCAGAATTTAAGAATAATTTTTACAGTATTCAGCATGTTTAGTTGAATCGATTATTTATAAATGCACATTGAGTGCCTGTTACCATGGCAGTGCGGGCCTAGGTCCTGGGATCCAAAGATGAAAAAATGATGGACTCTGACTTCCAAGACCTCAAAATCTGATAAGAAAAGAGAGCATAGACAAATAATTCTAATCAAAGAGCTAGTCTATGAAGTATTATTGGAGGACTGGAAAGCTAAGTCTATGTGTGTGTGTTTGTGTGTGTGTGTTTAGGAGGAGATGATTAGGGAACACATCATCAACAAGGAATCTGATCAGAGTTTTGAAGGAAAAGTAGATATTTACATAAATAGTGAAGAAAAGGACATGCTTTTTGGAAAGACTCTTGCATACAAAGTCAAAGATACAAGAAAGAAAATGATCCAGTTGAGCAAGTCCCTACTGTTCAGTGTGGCTAGAGGGGGAAGGGTAAACTTTGAATATAATGTAGGAATAAGTGGGTCAGGCAAAAGATCCTTTAATAAAGTGCTTTTATTGGTCATGCCTAGCAAAACTAAATGAAATAATATAGTACTTTTCTGGAAATCAGGTATCTGGTTTTATGTAGAACAGACACGTTCTTAGACATCATTAAGACGATAGACAAAGATGAGAAGGCTCCAAATGAAGCTTCTTTTTATTTATTCCATACATGAAATATTTGGAATGCACACTTTGAGATGTTACACCATTTGAAACCATTTATGACAAACTATGTGACCTTATAATTATTTCTCCATATAAGAGATTTTTGACCATGAGGGCAACTACCTGAAGAGAGAAGTGTCGGAATATTTAAAAATGAGAATTGGGCCAATTTGAGAAATAAACAATTTCCCACCAGATTGATTCTCAAACATTTCATTCAGCAACTCTGCTTCATGGAAGACAGATTATTCTGTGATGAATATGGAAAAGGATGTCTAACTTTTTGCTGCTAATGAAATTTAATTGCCATTCCCCAGAAAGTAGATCCAGCGTAAAAATGTGGTTTATAGAGTCCTCTTTAGAGTTGGTAGAATTCAAGGGAATAGAGGGTGTAATTGAGTGGCTAATGACTGTTATCCAGTGGAACAAGATAAACACAGAACTGAAGTAAAGTTGAGGAAAATGAAGGTATTCTGTTTTGTAAGAGAATAATTGTACAATATCGAATATGAACAAAATATTGACTAGTTTGGACATAGTGAGCTAGATGACAATATATCGCATTTAATTTCCTAACTCAAAAACAGATTTTGCTTTTCCACTTTGCCATTGTAAAATACTGATCCGTCTGTGGATTCTTCAGAGCCCATCTGGCCAACATAAAATCCCCACAGGAGAAAAAAAAAAAAACCAAGAGGGAGAACTAATAATGGAGATCCTAGTGAGATTAAATTTCTTTTCTTCTCAATGAAATGTGAAAGATGTATTACCTGCAGTTTGGCAAAGACAGCTAATAAATATTACAACTGTGATTTGAGAGCCATGCTATGCATGAAAGCAAAACTGACTTAAAAGATAAAGGTTTCATATTTTCAAATGGCATTTGAGATCCTATGATCATTAAGTATCTTAGTGTTCTGGAATAAACAGGTAAGGCTATTCAAACACTGACAAACATAATGCATTTAAAAAGGCCTTTGGCATTGGTAAAAAAAAAAAATCATTTAAATTAATTAAGTTAAAATAATCTTAGTAACTAGATATGAAAAGACCTCTAGAAAGTACATACTGAACAAATCAAAGTTTGTGGGAGCCTTATTTTTGTTTTAATAATGACACAAAGATAAGTAACTAATATGATGTT